GGTAACACCACTTGAACATATTGTATTTATACATATTTATCATTTGGCCTGTCCTAATGAAATTGTCTAGTTTCGACTATGTTTATTTCCAATATTATATTTTTATGTTCAACTTAGTTTTTTCCACAGTTGACTAGGCGTGTTTAATCATAATTCATCATATGAACATTTGAGTTTATAACAATATAATAATACAATTGTCAGAGTATCATAGTTTTGTTGAGATTTATGTTCCAGTATATTGGTACCTAGAAACAATATCATTAATCACATGTAGTTATATGCTGAAAAATGTGATTCACAATTATTTAAGCAAGTAAATACCTATATTATTTGTATATATATATATATATATATATCTGTCACCATCTAGCATTAATAAAATATTTGAAATTACCTATTTAAAATAAAATATTTAACGCATAAATTCATGATATGTACTATAAATTGAAAACTAATTAAAAAATTTAAAGACTCTTTAAGTAGGTATATTAATAACTATAGATAGTAGATATGTGAACCAGTACAATAAGCGCAAAAAACGTTAAAGAATTTACTATTATAAAAATATGCACGAGCATTCATTAACATAAATGTAATATTTTTGAAGTTGTATGGAGTCTATAATGGTTAAAATGTCTACAACGATTAAGGATCCGTGAATTTTGTTACTAAGTCAAAAGACTAGGTATTATACAGGAAAAAATAAAATAAATAAGTTACTCACTTCTTACTGTTTCAAACATTGTTCATTAGTATTCACTATTTAGTATAGTAGTAGTATAAAACTACATACAACCTACCATTAATACCATAAGTCTGTAAATGAAGCAAATTTAAAAAAAAAAACGATTATTCAACGGTCAATTACATAAATTGCAATAAAATAATGTATTTAGAGCAGTTTGGAAAAAACAATACTTTAAAGTTTATACATATTATGATTTTTGTTTTATATTCAAGAAGATATGTTGTATAATTTGTTAATTTATTTAAGTGTTTATTAGTTGTTAATCATACAAATACATATGTATTTATTAATTATAATTTATATTTCTAAATTAGATTGATGAGTTATAATTAGTAAATTACAAAATAAATATTTATTTATTTTTTTAAACAATATGGTGTATCTTAATTACTATAGTAAATTATTATATTAAACAGATAACATTTTTTCATTTTAAAACAAAGTAAATCAACAATTCCTATGTATTTAGAAAAAATAATTCATAAATATGCAGATATAAATATATATGACATAGTATGAACTTGGATTTGGAGTATAGAGCTAAGCCTAAAATAGTTTAAGGTCTATTCATACATTTCTATTTTTTTTTTTTTTATAATTATACATTTTTACAATGAACCTCCCATTTAAAGTTTTCTCTTCATTAAAAATAAATAATTACAAATTAATCTAAGTAAACTAAAAAATAATAGAATAAGTAAGTTATTTTGATTACACAAATAAAGTGAAACGATAAATAACCTACATAAGACTAGTATTACAATGTTTTGTGTATTGAGGAAGTGAGTCTTATATTTTTAATCTGATGCAGGGTTATAGGCCTAGAGGCAGATACATCGTGCCTACACGACTTTCCGTTTAAAATTATAAGGTATTCTGGGATATATTTTTTGTATAATGTATGATATGCATTTTATATTAAAACTATCTTGTGAGTGAATAGACCAAATAATGGAAATTAATTCAATACTAAATTATTAAAGGCAATAAATACATTAGTTAACAATAATTTTACTAGAACATAAACAAATTTCCGTAGTGCAAATTTTTGCAGAATTTGGGTAAGGGGTCATACCTAATAAAAAAATATTAACACTTAACATGTCCACTGCCCTAGATAAATGAATAAAAATTAAATGATCATCGAACATACTTTACATTATCTACTCTAGGGTATAGCATATTTTTAGGGCTATGGATGTTTTAAAAAATTATTCATTTTTACACTTATTTTTGAAATTATATAAATTTTTAATTAATATATTATTATATAAAAATAATATTGCATAAAAATGACACTTATATAAAAAAAAAATTTTAATTTACCAATTTAGGTTAATAAAAACTTCATAGCTCTACTTATGGTATGTACCAATTCATCTTCTTCTATGAGGTCCTATCCGTTCCGAATGTTGGATATCATATTGGCTATGCTATTCCCGATGTACCAATGACTTAAACTAATTATTTAAACATACAATTAAGATGAACTATTAATGTGATCATCAACAATTTTTACAAATGTAGAAGTAGTTATTTGGTCTTGATGCTGTACTGTATTTTTATCAGAATGCAACTAAAAAAAAACATTAAATTATTTTTAGAATTGATGTATTCTATAAAAAAAAAAAAATGTATACATACTTATTTAATTATCAGGTGAGGGTACTATGCTGAAACTAACCGGTTAGTTAACTAACCAAAATAACAATTTGTATTTGTTCATCTAATCTTGTTATAGATATTTTAATTAAAAGTTAGTACTACTAAGTGCAATTGAAATTTGAAAGAAAACAAAATTATTTTCCTAAAAAATAAACAAAAATTATGATAAACATCAAATTATTTATTTTATAAAAAAAAATTCATGCTTACAGAATAGATTGTTTAGTTTGTTTAAAAGATACTAGTAGCAAGCAATGTGAATAAGTATTAATTGCTGGTCAAATTGAGCTGTCTAGTCATATAGTTCACTGTTATTTTTGATTAATTACACAAATAATACGAATTTCCACTGAAATAAAATTAAAATATTTGAACCATGGTTATTATTTTCCAATAATATTATACATAAATCATTTAATAAAAAAAAAAAATTCTAATTTATTAATTTTAGATTGAACAAACCAATAAATTATAAAAAAAAAAGTTGTCAGCAAAATATGAAATCTAATTGCAATACACATAATAATACATATTGCTGATTGGATAAAAGTATATTTTTAATTAAATTCAAATTTTTAACCGAAATACAACATTAAAACACTATCAAAAAATATAATACACATTGAAATAATTGGTTTAAACCTTAAATTTATATTTTAAACAATAAACATAATTTAGTATTTACTTAAATCGTATTCTGTGATTAAATGTTCAAAGAATAATAATTAATTAATAATTTGTATTCGATGTTGGATAATGGAAAACTAACATTAACGATTAACCAATAACCACATGTTTTTAGAATCAGTTAACCGGCATTTATTAACGTTTATCTACTAAGTCAATACGTGATAAGATCGTATACTACGAATCAGTAACCAGTGATATATTATGTAACCATGATGGTAAATTTTAATATGTTTTTTTCATACTTCATAGCTGATTCAGCTGCGCTGCTGCAGGCTAATCGCTCATTGACACACTGTATTCTAGTGGGAGTGTTGATAGGACATTTTTTTTTCTAACAGCATTGTTTATCTGTCTTGTTAGGTACTTAAGAGTTATTATCGATTATGACCGTTATGGGTATTGTTAAATTAAGAAATCCTTCCGTTTTGACTTGTGGTTTTACCGTTGGTTTTGATAAATTGCTCAGTAGCAGTAAATTGAACGAATATTTAAATGGTAATAAGTCGCAAACTGATTACTGAAGTTGAATTCTGTAAACGTTAAAATAATTTTTTTCAGTATGTTTATAAATTTTCGTTATCGAAAATAGGTATTGCCATTAGAAAATCGAAAGTTGATAGCGTTTTATCATAAAAGGGAGGAAGTTAAAATTATCAAAATTGTAACACAAAAATAGTAAAACCTAGAAAATTAAAAAAAAAAATTATTTTAAAGTTCCTTATACTTCTCGAGATATTAAATGGTTCACGATTAGCAAATCACCCTGTGTTTACATATATGTATAAAAGGAAACAATATTCCTTTGGTGCATACAATAGTAAATACCTACTTATTTAAAAGAATAAAAAAGAAACTTAAAATACTATTTAAATATTATTATATGAATTAACAATAAAGTATTTTTCCATATTATCTGTATTCATGTTAATTCTTCTATGGCTTAAAATTTGTTTATAGAGACTAAATTAATATTCAACATCAACAGATGTTAGAGGTACAAAATTCATGTCAGAAAAACTACACTCGATGTAAAATATTCTGGGAGATCATTGTTTCCACACATGTTCCCAACTTTTATTAATATTTGGTAACTTATTTTTTTGACAAAATTGAGTCACTACTCTTTATTATGTTATCCTTTTCACCAAGTATATTAATTAGTTTGCAGATAATAGTTTGTACAATGTCCAACGATGACACCAAAGTAAAATATCCCAAGATATATCATATGGGCTAAATATTCTCAAATATGCAAAGAAAACTTTTTTCTACGAACTCAGAATTGAACGAATCATCCACATTTTTTACTCTTATAAGACTGCATAGACCCAGTTACGATATGTAAAAACATATAAATCCGGTCTTTAACTCTATACTGCATGGTGTATCATCTATGATACAAATTAGAGATGTGTCATTCATAAACCAACTAGTTCAATTGAACTATTCACCCAAGTGACCGGTTTTGTACTAGTTCACTTTTGATGAACGACTCGTTCGCCGTTCGCTTTGTACTTTTTATACTATACGCTCGCGTCAGGTCATGAATGATTCATTGATACGGAGTAATAATTATTGAACTAGTTCGTTCATGAACAATTCTTTGATACGGAGTACGTATTCATACGAACGAATCGTCCAATATATGAACTATGAACTAGTTCAACTTAGTGACCAATGAACGACTAAACTAGTTCACCTTAATGAACGATAAGTCCCATCTCTAATACAAATAACAGTGTTTTTACAAAGTTGGTTTTTTTTTAGTTAACAATGAAATATTGATTAGAAATCGTTAACGATAGTTTTGTTATCAGTAACCTTAACATTTTTTCCTATATGTTTTACCTCTAAAACATCTGTGTTATTTTATCAATTTTTATTTTGTTCGTTTTTCTTGAATTGTTTTTTGTGATGATTACACTGTAATTTACAGCATTTCTATCTCTAAATAAATGTATTTATAATCTCATACTGTCAAAAATCATATTAGAACTAAAAACTGCCACTGTCACAGTAAGTACACTATTTATTATGTTTTACGATTGTATTATCCCTAATACATTGCGCATTGAACTGTTTTTTTTAATACTAAATTATATCACCTATGATACATTATGCATATGACCACTTTTCGTAAAATAACCAACTTTAGTATAATTTAAAGATCGCTTCTCGAAATTGTTATTGATAATACACAAATAGTATATTTTTTATTTGTAGTATTTTATTTTAAAATTAAATTAATTTAGGTAGGTTTAGTATTTTATATGATTAAATTGTGACCTTTGATGCGTAACTCGTGAAAAATGTTTACAACTTATTTTTATTGTATTTTTTACACAGAAACACTTGGTGTAGTAATATAAAATGTTTTTATTACCAATACAACAATCAACTATATAGTTCAGATTTAAATTTAATGTTTTACTTTTATTAAGAAATAATTGAAAAAAATGCTGTTTCAATTATTATACTATTTTATACCCAATATACTTAATTATGATAGTAAATAAATAAATGTATACGTTAGTAGGCAATGTATCGTAGTTGAGACAATTAGGCTCAACACACATGGGCCACTTTACAACCACATCACAACAACAAAACGGTAGTCGTTCGTGGATGATATATTAATTACATTTAAAGTAATATGAAAAACGCAGTCAAACACAGACGAACCACTTTCCGACGACAGTCGCATCGTGTCGCCAGTATCATCCACAAAATCGTGGCCCGTCGGTGGTTGAGCACAACACACACGAGCGACACACCAGCTTTCAAACCACTCGTCACCAGCATAATATTATCAGTGTGTGTGTATATATATATATTTATCATAAAATTATATCAAAAATGTATTACTGTTACGTCTTCTGCGTAATAAGTGTTAACAACAGTGCTTCTTCGTCGGAATCCATTTTTATAGTGGTCAGTAGGTAAGGTCTAGGTAGGTTATATATTATTATATTATTTGTGGTCGTGGTGTGGTTACGTCGGCGACAGTTGGACCACAAAAAAGTGGTTCAAAAGTGGTGGTTCCAGCGACCGCACAACCACACGCCAACCACAAAAAACACTCAAAAGTGGTCCGTGTGTGTTAGGCCTTACGTAAATCAGTTTTTAGGCAATATCAATTTTTTTCAATAACAAATATTTTTTCAACAATATCTACACCTAAATTCACTTGAATTTTTTTTTTTTTTCTAGAAATGATGAAATGAAATTTAATTCATTTAGTGTAGGGTTAATTATAACTTATAGGCGACCGCGCAGAAATCGTGTGCGTGCAGGTACGTTTAAACTGCATTCATATACGCGTTTTGGACGACCAGCAGCGTCATCCATAACATTATAAATTTTATTCATATTTTCTACTGCGGCCTGTGACTAGATATTAGTAGGACCATTTTTCACCAGCGAAAAACAGGCGCATTGATTTTATTTATAAAATAGCTCTATAAATTAGTTTTTTGAAATTATATAATATATACTATAATATACTTATATAGGTACTATGTTTAAGATACTTTGACAAATAAAATATTAAGCTTAAAAGTAATAATTTGTGTATTGTGTATTGCGTATTATTTTATATTTAATATGTTACACCTACGACTAGGGTATTATATTTAAAGTCACACCTCCACCACCAGAGCTTACAAGCCGCCATTCTAAATATATGCGCGTATGAGGAAAAATTTAATTTTCACTTAGAGTTTTCATTGAAAGCAAAAGTTTATTTTAATTCGTAAAATTAAATAAAATTAAGAAGTACTTTCATGGAATTGTATAAGAACAGGCATTTTTTTTGTTTCCATTTTGTAACGATTCTATTTAACATTTTTCCAATTATTTTCACAGAGTTATTCCATATAGTAACTGAGTATTACCACGTCACTCGATTTTTTTTTTCCGGAGGATCGGGAAAAGGGGATTGGAAAAGTATTAAATAATGTCGTCACAAAATCGGAATATAAAAATACAATCTTCCTCTACCGCCTCTCAGATAAAAAAAAATTAAAAATCAGACGACGTGGTGACAATCAGGAGAGTATTTAGCACAACTCTGCGAAAAAAGTTAAATAGTGTCATAATAAAATTAAAACATAAAAAAGTCCTGTTCTTTTATGTATATATATATATCGGATAATAGAATCATTTTTAATAATAATGTGTATAGAATCATTATAATCATTTGTAAATATTATTATTTTTTTTTTTATTATTTATAATTTAGTTACCATCATTTTAGTGCTTGATTAAATTAAGTAAAATAAATTAATTTCTTCTTTAAAAAAACAACAATCTGTATTTATTTAATTATTTCAATTTAGAGAAAGCAAAAACTATATACGCGTGAAGCTGGATAATTCAGCTAGTAATAATATATAATATTAATCTTTTTCAATCACGTTGTAAATAACAATTATTATAACTTTAAAAACGTATTCTTATTGTCAACAAAAATAATATTTGAAATTTTTAATCGTTCAGTTAAAATATTTTATTTTATTGATTTTGATAATTTTAGTAAAATCATTTAGTGTATATGTTATTTACATGTGACATACATTACATTTATAAATACAATTTTTCACTAATGTTCAGCTAGTGACGTGGCGGAAGTATTATTTTGGAGAGTTATTATTCTTGCTTTCGTCAGCTAATATGCATTTATACTAATAAGGGAATTTTTTATTAATTTTTACAATACATTTATAAGATATGTCTTGCTACTAATACGTGGCTTGCACTCTATGTACTATGTAAGTACAATAATTCCCAATTTTGACCAAATGCATTATTATACAGCCATAATGTTTTGATCGATCAAGCGCGGTATGGAAGGTAGGGCAGCTGCGGTGGGATGAGGTCTGTGGTGCGGCAGTGACGGTAGACGCGTCAGTAACAACGGCCAGTGGATTGTCATTGCGCAGCAACCGGTAGAGTGTTACGGGGGGGGGGGGGGGAATTCGGAAGATATAAGTACAGATATATAGATATAGTTAAACTGATTGTTAACTAAAAAAATGATCACCGCAAAGGTGTTAGTATGGCTTTTATACTGTTAGCGTGCATCGTTATCATTTATCAGTACCCATGAGACTATCACATTTCTACGAGTCCTCTAAACAAAGGTGCACAAAAAAGGCGATGATGATTTTTTCTTCCACAGGATTCGCCTGACGCACCAAGCAATGGTGACCCATCGATTAATTCTTGTAGCTTGTTGACAGTACGCAGCGCCCTACAACGGGTCTATGGTTGAGTATTTTATTTCTTTGTTGCCGGTCGCCCATCACAATCGCTGATCTTCGTCTTAAATGTCTGTGCTCGATCATCCATTGCTGTAACCGATCATCACCGATTGTTTCCAGTCATCACCGTACGCCTATTGGTGATCACCGTACAACGGTCCACATCATTGCATTTTTTGTTCCAGTCGGCAGCCATATTGTTCCGAGTGAGCCAATCTGAATACGGTTTGTTCGATCCATAAACCTTCAACGTGGTTTTCAACTCTAAATTCCAGACAATGCCTAGATACAAAAAACAGTCTAAATCCACGTCAACCTCTTCGTAAGTATTTATGGTTTATTAAAAAAAAAAAAAAATGAATTTGCAAATCTGTGTAAAAAGATGTAACTTTGTGCATGTGTGTGCGCTTTGTATTCGCGAGTAAAAAAGACTGATCGTATTATTGCTCGCTTGTCAGTCGTTCAGTAGACGTAAAGAATATTTGTTATTTAGAAACTAACTCATTTTTCTTTCAATATGTATTGACGTTACCAATGATCATCACCAACCCTGTTCGATGTCGGTCCGATCCGCTGCGGCGTCGCTAATTGTTCGTTTTGTTGTCATGTTTGTACGGTTTTGAACGAAATGTTTGTCAATCTACTGACTTGTGTACCTATATTTAGAAGATACTTAATCATTGTTATAGGGTTATATTAGTTTGAATAGTTAAATAATTCAACACAAGTTAAAATGAAAATAATTTTTATTACATAATACATGAGTCATAGATATACGTGAGGCATCATCATAATAACCCATGACACCATTTACTACTTTACCCTATTCTCGGTGGCTGTGTATACACCTTAGATTATATACTAGGGTTAGAGCCATAAAGTGGCGTAGCCAGGAATTTAAAATGGATGGGAGCGCACCCAAAATACTAAAAAAAAACATATTCAACAATTAACAATAACAGTTTATTAATTTAGTAATTTTTATATTAAGTTTATTGTATTTAATATATTTTATTTTATTAGAATTAAATTAAAATTTATTAGCTTAATTATTTTGACTAATCTAACAATAGGAGACATCGATGAGATTTTGTCATATAATTTTAAATGATTACAATCAAATTAAGTTTGATGAAAAATCTAGATAATATTATTCATTTAGCACCACAGATTTAGATAATAAACCCAAATAGAGAGCTTCTTAAATATACTGACATAGAATCTCATAACTCTGGAGCATTAGGTTAAGTAAGTGTATAAAACAAGCATTTATTTTGAATATAAATAATATAACTTTTTAGTAGATTATAGTTCATCAAAATTTTTTTGGGGATCTAATAAAATTGTATAATAATTTGTACTCATGTATTTTTTTTTTTACATCTGAAATAGATAGATATTAGTATATTACCAATGTGGTATGTTGTTTATAACAGCAAAATTAGTTCTTTTAATGTTTTTGGTTTTTTGAGATACTCAGGCAACAAATTTTTTTGACATATAAATAAAATAAACTAATATAAAATATAAATAATTACGTTTAGGAGCGTACCGAGGAGGTTTTTATTGGAGGGGTGGTGCCAAAGTTAGTATTTTGGCCAACTCAACAATTTGATCCAGGACAAATTTTTATCGTTATTTCACAGAAGCCATTTCATTATTACACAGTTGGATGTTTATTATTTTTCATCAAAAAATTAAATAAGTAATACAAGTTAATAATTTTTTTATAATTATTAATAAAACTATTGTAATGTTTAAGAAAATTGTTAATTATAAACATTTTTCATCATTATCTTTATTGATAATCAATATTCTTTTTTTTTTTTTTAGAGTAGCCCATTTTTGAGCCATTTTGATTAAAGGAATTTGATCCACCAAATCTTTTTCAGAAGAAAGCAACATCAAATCGTTTAACCATCAAATTGTTTAACCTATAGTCTTCTTGAGTTGTTCTTAAATAGTTTTTGACTATTTTTAATTTGTTGAATGATCTTTCATTGCCAGCTACAGTTACAGGTGGCGTACATGATTAACGGCACAATAAATTAGCTAATGGCAATGCTATTTTTAATTCATTGGAAACTATTGCCATATCACTCATAGTACTTTTATTTTTACATTCATTAAAGAGCACTTCTAATTCATATTGTAAAGTTAATGGATCAATTTCAAGATTATTTAGTAAAAATTTCATTGCATCTTGAATAAATGTTTCTGTTAAATATTCTCCTATAAATGGTAGTTTAAACATATTGTACAATGGTTTGATATCATTAATAGATTTTTCAAGATGATTTTTAATTAAACTAATAAGTTTGTCTAACACAGTTTTAAACTCTTTTCTTTAAAAAATGTAAAATGAAATTTCAGAAGCATTATTTCTATTACTATCTAAATGTTTTGGAGCAATTCAACGATGGTGACATATGGAAAATTCTTTTTCAGCATCAATTTCATATTTTTCAGAAAAACTTCAGCGCTTTTGATTAGATTATCCATACATTCTGAATCAGAATTTAAAATATCTAATGATTTCAGAGTACTTGCAATAAATAAAGTAGCATCTGTTATGTATAATTCAGGTGATTCAAGACATTCTGTTAATAGTATTAATTAGTACATAATATTCTTCATAAACATAAGGCTCACAACAAAATCAATAGAAATTAATTTTTTTGACCAGGAGAAAGCTGTATTTTTATCAACATTTTTTTCTAAAACAATATTACCCAATACATCTATAATAATTAAATATGATATCCACAGAGATTTCAATGCTTCAGTAAGTGCTGTTCACCTTGTTAGGGATAAATTTCTCAATTTGAGAGAATTTTCAATTTCATCCAATTTATTCAACAGAGGTCTATATCATTTGGTACTAGACAAAAAAAAAACATATAGTTCTTGAATTATTGAAAACAAATCAGATATTATTAAACTAGAATCACATGCATGTTCAATAAAAGTATTGATTCAATGTGCCTTACAAGGAATGTATGGAATTTTAGGGCTAATAGTTTCTGATATTTTTTGTTGAGCACCATTAAATTGACCAGACATATTATTTGCAAAATCATATGGTTGAAAAACTAGATTTTGAAGATCCAATTGATTAGCATGTAATGTTTCTAAGATTTTATCAGTCATTCCCTTGCCGGTCTTGTCAACAATTTCACGAACTTCAAGTAATCTTTTTTCTAGTTTATCTTCATCATTAACAAAGCGTACTACGATAGATAATATATCTTTGTGTGATAAGTCTGGAGTTGTATCTGCCATCATCAACTTTTTTAGTTATATTAATTTTTAATGAACTTGCAAGAATATTAATAAATTCATTATGAGATTTTAGACTCATATAAGTGGTACGATATGCCCTTAACCTAGAAGACTCCAACCATTCTTTCAATATTGGACAATGTCTTGATATGAGTAATATTATTTGTTTGAAATTACCATTTTCATCGTTAGCATAACCACTAAATGCTAAACCCTGTCTACCGAGGGTTTTAGTAACATATCGAGTAGTATAGAGATTACTTCAGTGTGAAAAGCATGATCTCGTTCTTCTTGCATCCTTTTTTGCCTTTTATTTTTATCAAACATTATATCAATATGATTGTTTTTGTTCATAAAATGACAAAATTCATAAAGTGCTGCTTTGTGCAATTCAGATCTAAAATGTTTTTGAAACTTTCCACATATTTTTGTTCGATTATTCCCTTTCATTTTTTTCCAATTTTTTACTCTTTAAACAGTCCAGTTATTTTCACTTTTTCTTCGCCCAGCTCTACAAGAAATAAACAGCAAACATAATAGAATGCTACATCTTTAACTGTGCTATACTCTAAATGAGGGAATTCTTCAAACCATGAATATTAAAACTATATTTTTCTGTTTGTGGATATGCATTCAATTTTGGTTGATGAGGCCCCAGTATTAATAAATACTGCCGTTGATTATCAGAAATAATTTTTGTTCTTTTTCCTGGATCATGTTCAACTACACTATCAACAACATTTACTTCAGAAACAATACCAGATTGATTTTCAAGAAGTGCTGTTACTTCATTACATGTATCTAATACAGAATTGGAAATTTTCATAATATTATCTATAGCTTCTTTAACTTTAACTACTATTTTGTATGCATTTAATACTTCAGCTTGTTGAAAATTGTGATAATAGGTTTGCATAGTTGCATATAATCAAAAAGGTACCTGAATAGTCCAGCACAACTCAAAACACTATCTGTTAAATTGCTAGTTTCACTATTTTCACAATTGACATTTAATGGTACTTACATTTAATTAGTAATAAATGCATTAGCAATTTAAGATCCTATTGATTCAAACTACAATAAAACAATTTGCACACTTTAGTTCTTAAGTATGTAAAAATGTTTAGTAATAATTTAAATATACATATTATATATTTTTTAAAAGAAAAAATGTATTTATATTTTTTATACATGTATATTTGTAAATGTATAATTTATTAAATTATTAAAATGAATTTTACATTTATACCTACATCATTCATATCATTGTGCATAATTATTTTAAATATAAATTTACCCAACTTTGGTTTAAGTGATTAAAACTATTTTATATCAACTAAGTCACTATGCATAAAATATTAATTTTACTAAAATTATAATTATAACTTACATTTTCCAAGGAATTTAATTTTGAGCTAGAAATAGAAGCAATAAATGGATTAGCAGAAGCTCCAGGTACTTTAATTTCACTCGTTTTCCGCCATGAAGAGCGATTTCGTGTTTTTTCTAGAAGTCATTGTTAAAAATACTTCAACAAGATTCACATTGAACTTTCTTCCTTTTCTCCATAACTTCTATAAGTAGATATTTCTATTAATATAGATGTAATAAACACTGATTTTGAAATCGATCCAAATAAGAACAACTCATACAATCATACCATTATATTTAATCAAAGCAGAATTGAATTATTTATCGTAAACGTTACAACTTTCAAGATAAAATATTTGTTTATTAGATGTTTGACACATTTTTCAATTTTGTTTCAATTCGAAATCGAGTAGTTCATTATAATAGTTAGTTAAAATTACAATTTATTTAAATTTTTAATTTATTTTATTAAATTATCTTACCGTGTTACTGACACGTCCGTGTATAAATTATATGAAATAAAACTTGATAGAATCAAAATAGCAGTTATCAACAAAATAATTAGTAATTATGGTTTTTTACACTATTATATTCACAAAAATATATATTTTTGTAGTAGGTTATGTAAATTGTATAACACACACGATAAAAATAGTAAACGTTCAACAG